TTTGATGTTACTAAAATCTCTTTTTTCTTTACACAACTAGTAACTAGTGCACATTGTATCACAATTAAAGTTAAATTACACCAATAGTGGCAAAATAGACTGAAAAAAACTGGTAATAACCGAAATGCGTTTTAAAATGTTTGGTTGGTACCTATCTACCTACGCAGTGCATATCCAGAGATACCGCGTTGTGGAAGTGTGGCATTTTTGTTAAGTTAGATTTTAATTACGATTAATCCATAAGAGGACATTCTTATTTTTTGGTAAGTATTATACTTCCTTTTTCTTTAAGTCTTAATACTCAATAAATACCAATATGTTAAAAGGATGTCCATACCCGACCTATATTATATATCAATAATTTACGGCAGTAGGTTGGGTACTTGTATCATTAATAATACAGGGTGTCCCAGGTTTAATGATCTTAATTTTGCCAGTCGGTAGAGAATCAAAAAACAAAACGAATTTCCAAGGAAAACATGTATGTATTTTCAATTTTTCGATACATGTTTAACTTGAAAATTCGTTTTGTTTTTTGATTCTCTACCGACTGGCAAAATTAAGATCATTAAACCCGGGACACCCTGTATAAATACATACACACTTGATTTACTTTTTATTTTCAAGCGTAGGGGAAGGTGGGGGAATTCTGCGCATCTAAGCAAAATCTCTAGTATCTTTGTTAAGTTTAAATGTGAAATTTTGCAATTAATACCAGCGATAGTCTACTATGTTTACTATGTGTATATAATGCGCAATTTATAAAAAAATGTTTGGTATGCAAAAACTACATTTTTTTAAATAATGCATTTGCGCAAAATTACCCACCTATGAGGGTAATTTTGCGCATCATAGTGGGAAAATTTGCGCTGTATAGAGAATCTTTAAAGATTTGTAGGTACCTATCTAAATAAACCTTTTATTTCTATAATATTATTATAATAAAACATAAAAATAAAACAAAACTATTTTCTCTATGAAACAAACAAAACAAACAAAATAAAAAATAAAATTTTTCTTCTTAGAAATAAGAGGGTCTACATGCAGCATTTGTCACATATGTAGTTTTAGGGTTTTTTTTCGCTACACTCCGCGTGTGCCCAAATGGAACTGTTTATGCTGAACAATCTAGGCTCCTGTATACCAAAGCTCCCATATTGGCCAAATTTTGCAGCGCAAAATTACCCCAATTTTTCAGCGTAACCCAGCTGACATGGTCACGTCATATAAACGTCGATTATTGGTATATATTGGTAAATGACGTCGACGACCTTACATCGACGTCTCTACGACGTCACAACCCTTACCAACCATATACGTCATTTTGTCAACGTCGACCTAAAGTGATACAATAATAATTTTAGCAATTAATGTCGTACATTGTGGACTTTTGTTTCTTATCCTAAAACCAACAGGTACCTACATCACTTTAATGCAGCTTATGGATCGTATCGTATATAATTTTTTTAGTTTTACTAACCAGAACACAAAATATTTCGTGTTTTGATTAGCAAAACTATAACAATTATTTACTTATTGCTAGACACTCAATATATTAGGAGTTACAAAGTATTTATTAAACTTGTAAATAAATAATAAAATGTATTTGCCGTTAAATATTTAAATTTCGCGCCAAACGCTCGTCAAAATTCGGAGCCACCGAATCGGAGGTGCTCGTGCGGGTGTGACCGAATGCCGCGCTTTTATGACAAAGTTTGTTTCTTTCTTACTCTATGGGTTGTATGTTCTGTTTGCGTGTGTTAAAGCTGTGCAACAAGTGTATGCTTTTGCTTAATAATAATTATCAGTTATCAGTTAGGTAAGCAAAATTTTGTTATTTCGTTGATACTTACATATCTTTTGCGTTAAAATGTAAACAACTAAACGATGGGGGTAATGTTGAATTTGTCAGCCGGTTTCGTGCCGCGGCGTCATGGTCGCCATTGGGCATTTATAAAAAGTAATGAAATAATAAGTTTAACAAGTACTTATATGTATATTGGTTAATTATATTTGTTAAAGTTATAAATTAAATTTATTAAATAATTACCTATATAATATATACCTAATGTTATTAAAACTATACCTACTGAAGTTGTAATTTTTGTCTACATAGGCTTTCGTAGGAGTGGAATTCTGCAAAACTGATGACGATGAAGATGGTTTAGCACTTTTGCATTCCCTTAAAGAGAGAGCATAGTTCTCCACAGCTCTTTTAAACTCTCATTATATATTTTTATTATATTAAGAATCTTTGTGTATTATTTATTTAATATTATTTTTGTTGTAAAAAAGTTGCCTCAAATCTACAACTATCCGCATACAGTATACGTACATATGGAAACTATACTTACATATATGTACATATGATAAGCTTAGAAAGTAGTATTATCAGTGTTTTAAATTTAAGGTAACTTTTGCACAGAAAGTGCATTATTTTGTTTATTTTTTTTTCAAATAAAATTTTATCAATATTTTTGGTTTTTGTGCTGTCCCAAAATCGATACATACGTCATAAATAGGTTGATAAAATGACGTCGTATTAACGTAATTATACGTTACAATTACCTACGTCGATAAAACATATATTCTACGTCATAAAACGACGTCATTTTACGTCACTTTGGTGACGTCTTTGGGCTGTGACATTTTCACGTAATATTTTGATCGATTCGACGTCATCCAACAGGTCAAAACGACGTAATGGGTGACGAAATAAATACGTTAAAAGAACGTCATACTGTCAGCTGGGAAAGTTACCCCCATTGCAAGAAAAATATTGTGATACTAAAAAACTTTCCAAAAGTTAACCTGAACAATTTAAACATACACCAAATTACGAGGAAAGATCATATAAAGTTGTGTTATAAACATTTAAGCGATTGGACAGAAATTTAAACTTAACTCGTAGCGGAAACGACATGGATTTCTTAGATCAAAGTACATGTATCACAGTTAGCTATAGCTATACTGACTATAGTGACCATGGCACTAGCTAGAAGCTACAAGCTTAATTGCGGTACACTTTAGTCCCTGTATACCCAAAGCAACGTTTCCAAGTTTGCAACATTCAAAAAATGTATTATTTACTTCATATCTGGAAGAATTGTTTATGCGTAAAATTACCCACCGCGCAAAATTCCCCCACCTTCCCCTAATGGTTGTTATATTAACCTATATATAGGTATACCTACCTACATTTTTATTAATATTATGGTAAATCCCCGGCTGTATACAGCCGCATGACGCCTGTCTACCAATGGGATCACCCATTTATTTTTATAACAGAAAAATGGATTACTGATGAATTCTCAAGATAATTCATTGCTTACAAGTTGACAGTCAGTAAAACATTGCATTGATCTAAAACTTTTACGTTTTAAGGAACCATTTTGCTTAAGCCAGCCATACGACTCAAATATAAAATTATATTTTAAAAGGCACCGATTTTGAATTGTCATAGATTTTTGTTCCAAACAAATGTTTCTCTTTATTTACCTTTTCGTTTTATTTACTATCACCAATAGGTTTTACTCAAATAATAGTGTTAATTTACACTAGAAGTTTGCACTAAAAAAATTAAAAGTACCTTTCTAAAATTAAAACTTTTCCAAAGTAAACACTACTTACAATTTACACTGAACAAAAGTGAGATTTTACACGATTAGTACACGATTTTAGGTAAATTAACACTTTTTAATACAGTGTAAAATTACTTTATCCTCAGTGCTATAGTGTTAAATCATACTTGCTTACTTGGGGAAATTAACACTACAAATTAACTCTAATTGTAGTATTATAAAACAACACTATTTAGTGTGGACCTGTTTGAACTCTAATTAGTGTTGCTTAGAGTTGATTTTTTTTTACTGTGCAATCGCGGATAAAACCGAACGTTGGCATATGTTTGCGGGTGAAAACAGAGGGTTACAATTAAAAGCAGCGGATGAAAGTAGATCTTCGCGTATAAAAGCAGATGTTTGCAGGTGAAATCGGATGAATCAGACGTTTTCGGATTAAAGAAGATGTTTGCGGATAAAATCCACTTTCGCGGATGAAAGCAGATGTTTGCGAGTGAAACCGGATAAATCAGATAATCGCGGATGAAACCGGGCTTTATTTTTTTAAGTTTAGGATTAATTTCAAGGTCCCAAACAAATGCCTAAAATAGAAACAAAAAGTCATTTTGCCTAAAATCCGGTCCTTGCTTATAACCTTCCATTTAAAACATGGACAGTTAGAAGTTCTAACTTAGAACTGATGAAAATAATGCCATAAGAAAATTAGAAAAATTAAGAATTTATGAAGAATTTAAAAAAAAAGGAAATAAGAATAGATGTGCCCAAACAAGAAGCAGGGACTACCAATGATGGAAATACAGATCGTAGATTTTTTAAAGATCCAGAGACAACATCAAATATAACAAAAGTAGATGTAAATCTAATTAAAGGTTCTGGGATATTTTGCAAGCTTTGGTATCTGGAAGAGAAATAGATGTTGAAAAATTTAAATACGCACAAGAAACAGCCGAGCTCTATGTGTCTCTATATAGTTGGTACTATATGCCATCTTCAGTGCATACAATTTTAATTTATGGAGGAGATATAATGAGCCATTTTTATTAGCCAATAGGCCAATTATCGGAGGAGGCTAGGGACAAGGCCTTTAAATATTCTAGAGATCATACTCGAAAAATATCAAGAACTACCTACAACAAATGAAGACTTGCTTCATACATTGTAATCCTCTGTTTTCACCCGCAAACTACTATTTTATAATATATTAATTATAATTGCAAAAAAATGCGCTTTAAATTTAAAAGCTCTATCTAAATCCAGATTAGGTTAAGGAAGTCGCAAAAAAAGTAGGTAGTTTAAAATTTATTTATTGCATATTTATAATTTACTTAAATAAATACCTACTACTATAGAAACACACAGTGTTTATTATAAAGCAATTAAATAAAAATAAATTTAGAAGAATAATTATAACTATTATACATGAATATAGTTCTTTATAAGCTCATTTTTTTCTAAATATTTAATTATTACCTATTTATATTATCTACAAGCAGAAGCGTTCCGTGAGTATAGTATACATAATAGTAACAATAGTGCGTCAAATACTCTAAAGGCTGTAGGTGTCACCTGTCCTTGTCTCCGTGAAGGATCACTACTGTTTACAACTTTATAAATGTACTAAAAACTAAACAATAAATACTGTTATTTGCAAATGTTTAAATGGTTCTCCATTGCACTATTGCCCTTAGATCATCAGGAGCCAAACCAAATGGCTTGGTGTTATCACTTGCAACGTAGGTGTTGATTTGGAAATCCAACATTGTTTTGTATTTATACACATTTGTACCCAGTTGCTAAATTAAAAAAAAAATAGATATACTTAAGTGATGTTAAAACAATGTGGTTCTTACTTGTGTCAAGGGACTGGTATTAGTAGTAAATATTCCTGCAAATCCACGTTTCCTGGCAAGTTTTAATACTTCATTCTCCATAAATTGCATCACTGCTACATTTTCTTTTGAAGTTAAAGACGAGTGTGTGGCCATCATAAAAGAATGAAGAACTGAACCTTTACCAGGGGGTAGTTGATTATCCCTATAAAATACCTATTTAGTATTTATACTTTTTATTTAAAATATACAGGGTGGGTCAATAAAAAGTTTTCACTCCGGTTTTCTTAGGTGTTACAAAAAAAACATAAAAAGCTCGCACACGTCGGTTTTTTATTTTATGGGGACAATATATTTTTATATTTTTAACTCCACAACTTCAACTTCTAAGCGTGGGTGTCATCCCCAAAATTTTTAATAGAAAGGGGGGTCAAGTGATGCCTCCTTTTAAAGTTCTTTTTGCCCTGATTATTACCCCCAAGTTGGAAGTCATCCCCGTTGATATGACAGCTTGTCAAAATCTTCTTTTATCCACTTGGTGGATATAATAAGGGTCAAAAGACCTTTAAAAAAGGGATCACTCGACTCCTCTTATCATGTAAAATTTTAGGAGTAACTCACTACCGAAAGAGGGATTAAGTGATTAAGAGTTTTCAAGATTTTGACAACGACTTTAACTAGGAGGTTATAATTCGGGCAAAAAGAACTTTAAAATGAGCCATCACTTGACCCTCCTTCCCATTATAAATTTTGGGAGTAACTATCACCCACACTTAGGGGTTAACGTTAAGGGGTTGAAAAAATAAAAATAAATTCATGTGTGCGAGCGTGTTTTGTAACCCTGTATAAACTTACCTAATAGGTCCCTCAATACTTTCCAAAAACTCAAATATCACAGTTAATTTTGAAGTAATTTCAACCTCGGGTTCATCTCTGGCATCAAAATTTAAAGCCACACCTACGACTTTACCGGTTTCATTAAAAACGATGAAACTTAGATTTTTTTCAACCAAAGGCTCCCATAGAGCTCCCAATAGTTCCTTATAGTCAGATTCTGATATTTCGGAAATAATAAGCTGCTCTAGTTCGGCTTTTTGATAAAAACTAGTTGTTACCATACTAAAAATACAAATTTATAAAAATAATTATATTTGTTTTATTTAAGTTACTCTAAGACTTGTGATCTGTGTGCTGGTTTTAATAAGTCGGATGAAAATCTCGGTGGTTGGGTATCAATTTTAGTTTCAGATGTCATTCTTTCCAGAATCTCGCCAAGATCCATTGCGGAAATAAAGTCACCGACATCTTATAAAACAAAATTTAATAATATATTTTTAAATTATTTTTGAATCTTACTTATAAAATATCCTTGATCATTTAGCCTTGAAATAGTAAAGATGGAATTCAATGAATTTCCTCCAATTTCATAGAAGTTTGCATTTACTGAAATTGAATTTCTAGCTGAACGATTTAATACAGATGCCACTGTTTCGAATAAAACTTGCGCTGCCTTCATTTTGCTTATGGGTACTCCGTGGTAGTCAATATCCACTTGATAACAACTATCATCTAAAAACAATCGTTAAAAATGAGCCTTTTAGAAAATTAATGAATTACAACTTTTAAATAACCTATTTTAGTTACTAAGTGCAATTAATTATGTATAAATGGAGCCTTCGTTTATCATATGCACCTCCCTTTAAATTTAACTTTGACAATTAAGCATAGGGTAAATTTAGTGAGCCCACAAATAAAATTTTGATATGTTTATATAAATATTTACCATTATTGTTGGTATTTTCATAGCTCTTCAATAAAGCCTGTCTATCAATCTTTCCATTTACCAGCAATGGAATTTTCTCTACAAGAATAACTTGAGGAATCATGTATGAGGTTAAAGTCTCCTTTAACAGTTCTTCGATTTTGTGTTCATTGACCAGAGATGTTGTAGTTACAAAAGCTAATAAAGCTTGAGTTATTTCTCCAGGTTGGTAGCACAAAACAATGCCTTTTTCCACAACATCTAGGGCGTTTACTGCCCTTTCTACTTCAGATAAATCTACACGATGTCCACGAATTTTTATTTGTGAATCTGTACGACCCTCGTATAAAATTGTACCTGCAGAATTATAAATGTGTATAATTCGCAATATCAGATTTCATAATTGTTACAAAACGAAAAGCAAATTTCATCCTTCACTAATTCGTTCAAGTGAATGGAAAAGAAGATCATTATGAATACATATATTTGTGCAAATCTTAAGCAATATTACAATGAACAAGGTCAAATAGGTCCTGTATATTTAATAGAGAAAAGCATTAGTTTATAAATGTTAGCTGTATGTGTATATGTGTATATGTGTATATTATAGATTAAATAGCACTTTGGCTTGTTTGATTTAAATATTTTAACTTTCTACAAATAAACTGTTTTTAATTAGCTGTTTAACGTGTGCTATTAATTAAACAAGTAACAAACGTTATTTTTAACTGTTTACCTTTTTCTAAACGAGCAAAATCGCCAGTTCTGTACAGTTTGGCGTAGGTAGGATCAATCGCTAATGGATTGTTTAAGAACTTTTCGGGATCCCTTCCGTTTACATATCCTGCAGCCAGGTTTAGTCCTGAAACGAATAATTCGCCTACCTCTCCGCCTTTAACTGGCCTGAAATCGTGATCCAATAAATAGATGATAGTATTATCCACTGGCAATCCTACAAAGAACATACGTGTCATACGTGTTTTAAATTGTAAAAAATATATGTAATTGATTGTAAAAAATATATGTAATTTTATAAAACTTATCTCTAACAAACTCGAGAAATAATGGATACAGTGAATATTTTCAATTAGTTTATACACTTTTGGTTTTAGTAATCCAATGATAAATTAGATATACTTATTTAGGCGTAGGTTAAAACAAATGTTGTATTGTACCATTAAATGTTTGAGACGCATTTTTATTATGTTTATGACATTGATAATTCATTATTATTATTATTATTATTATTATTATTATTATTATTATTATTATTATTATTATTATTATTATTATTATTATTATTATTATTATCATTATTATTATTATTATTATTATTATTATTATTATTATTATCATTATTATTATTATTATTATTATTATTAATATTTACCTATTGGTACTTTATCTATATGTTGTATTTCTTTTGGTCCTGAAATGATGTGATAAGTGACGTCTCCCATTATTTCAGTGCTTCCGTAAAAGTTACAAAGTTTATGCTCATTTTCAGGAAAATATTTAAAGAATTCCTCAGCAAGTGATACGACCAATGTTTCCCCAGAACAAACCCATATTTTTAGGTTTGATAAATATTGTTTACCCTTCTGAAATTTTATTATGTTATTGGTTTAAGAGTTACTCATATTTTTTTTATTAAAAACTTACCATTAAGTCTAAGAACATCAACATAGATCTCAATAATGATGGTACTAGTACTAGTCTCTCGACCTAAAATTGTTTTAAATATAATTATTGTATATGGGTCATTCCACCAAATAAAAATTGTTATTTTCTACATCAAAATTATTTATTTATTTTTTTCTTATTTTTTTAATGTAAATATTGTTTTATAAAAATACAAACAGTAGATACTGATTTTTTGTAAAAAATTCTTAGATTGATATTGAAAATATTCATTCTTTATTATAAGTAACAAAAGACCCTCAAAAATGCATTCAAAGTGGTAAATTCGATTTTTCTGGTCTTGCGGCAATTTTTATTTATAAGTTTTATATTTTCTTCCGAAAGCAGATTTTTTTTAATATATGCAATTTTTACGATGGGGTTATTTTTTGTTTAAATAAAATTAAATAATAAAGCAATTTTGTCTTTTTTTTTCAAATAAGTTTGTCTTATTTTCTGAAAACAATATAAAATATCTACGTATTTTTGTAGAAACTCCTTAATTCTTACCAAAAAAACATACATAATATATTATATTAAATTATTTTCAGAAAATAAGACGAAATTGGTTTTAAACTGGCAGATGCAAAACCTCAAATATTAAAATAAATGAATTACTATTATTTTATTATGAAATTGTATTTAAACAAAAAAAATCGTGAAAATTACATATTTTGTGTAAAAAATTTCAGAAAAAAATACCAAGTTTAAAAATCGAATTTTTAACTTTCGTTCCTTATAATAAAGAATACATATTTTTATTGAGAAGCTAGGTAAATTTATTTTAAATTCGAAAAATCATTACCTACTAGGAAAGTACCTACTTGAGATTAAAATCTTAAATCTTTATTTTTTTTCATTTTTGCATCTTTGGAAAGATTTTTTTTTGTCTTCTTGGCTTACAAAACCTTTATAAAATTATTATGAACGTGTTTCGAAAACTAGACTTAAAATTTATTTGTAGCATATTTTATAATGAAATAACAAAGAAATTTAAAAATAATAATAATTTAGTCTCTTCTGTCCGTTCTTACTTCTGTCAAAAAAATTATGAACTATTAATTTATATTAAAATTGAATTTTTTTCAGTGATGCATTGTTATACCAACATTTCCTAGATTGTATAAATTTATTATTTAAAATTAACAAAACTTTCAAAACCTACATAAAAGTAAATTTTTCCAATGCACAGAAAGACAAATTATAAAATTTGCATAATTTGGTTGTACTGTTGTACAGCACTTCCGACAAGTCTGTAAATTTGTTAATTTTGACCTAATTTTTTTCCATTCATTTTTTTAAATGAAGCAAGCCGTTATTATATACAAATAAAAGCTATTAATGGAATAGATTGCAAAAAGAAAGTATTTTAAGGACACGAGTGTAACAAGTGGTCCACCACGTCAAGTGCTTACAGAGATTTCGATTTTGCAACGTATTGCATTTAAGATTTTTTGTTACAGCGTTTTTAAACAGATTTAATTTTTAATTTACCATAAATAAAAATTTCCTATTTTTAAACGCTAGTTTATTATAGTATAACTTTTACGCACTAGTGCGCATGTTTTAAACATCCTTAAATAAATACATATATTAACTAAATGCTAGTGTTAAAAACTGACCTTGTAGGAATCCAGCAACTTAACTAATTTATCTGGATCCTGTGTAGTAGTTTTGGGAACGACCAGAATAGTCCGTCCGTTAATTAAAGGACCCCAAATTTCAGAAACGCTGTCAACGAAGGTTAGAGCTGTTTTAAACACGCAAATTTTCTCGGTTTTGCTGTAGGGAAACGTTTTAAACTGCCATTGTAATCGATTAAGAATCACTTTGTGTGGCAACCGCACTCCTAAAATGGATTTAATATAGCTAAACATTAATAAAATTTGTCACAAAATGCTTTTAATTATTAAATATATTATTATATCTTGCCTAGATAATCTAGGTATAAGATTTTTTTGAAATATTATTAAGCACATAGTGTGATTAAAATTTAAAAGGCACAAGGACTTAATAAGTTAATAAGGAGGTTAATGCTAATAATCAATAATAATTCTTTAAAAGGAAGTGTCGGTAGCAAAAATTTAATAATTATAATTATAAATGTTAACGCAATAAATTATGTTACCTTTTGGTATACCGGTGCTGCCAGAGGTATATAAAACTATTGCAAGGTCGTCTCTCTTATGAATAAGGTTTTTTTCAATTTGCAAGGATTCTTCCGATTGGTTACCACTTTGTTTTACAAGATCATCCAATGATATTTTATGTGTATCCAAATAAAATTCTGAATCTAAAAAAAAATTATTTCTTACCATATCGCACAATTATTAATTTAGTTTTCATTTCTAATACTTTTTATTATGTAAAAATATAAGGTGTAGTCAAAATATGTCGCATTTTTTTAGTGTGAAATAACGGTAACGCCTTTGGATTAATCTTAATTTAGGGATTTTAGACTTAAAAAACAACAACGCTCATTAATTAAATAAAAAACGGCAAAAACGCGTTGTGGTCTCTTAAAATCATCCACTTCGCGATATTAATGTTGTGGCATTTGTAGAAATAGCCACAAAGCGTATTTAGTGGTTCTTTTGATATTTGACAGCTTGTGGTTTTTAAGAACAACCATAAGGCGTCCTGAATGTTATAAATATAAATAATAATATAAAAAAGTTGTCATGGAAGCGATCTTAAACATTTCGTCTTTGGATTTGTTCGTAGAGGAACTGGGTTCATCTCTAAGGATTACCACCACTGAACTGTGGTCCGAGAGACATCTTTTCTAGGTGCAGTGCAGATTGTAATTAGCTATTATTTCAACACTTCCTGTCAGGTGTGCATTAGGGTGGTTCTTATTTGACCGATGTCGATATTTACATCGTGCCGCCCCATCATTTGTTTTTAAAAAATATAAAAAAAATGTATGCCAAATTTGAATGTCGTAACTTATTTCCTTCTATTGCCTGTACCAACGAGAAATTTTCCAGATAAAGGATTTTTGCCGTTAATGTATTAATTTTTTAAAATTACTATTAATCTATGAAAAAGTATAATTTTTGTAAAAATCTAGAGGATATAAGTTACTTTAAAATAAAAAAGAAAGAAATCATGTATTTTCATCCTAAGGTCTTTTTTACTTCGCTCGATTATTACTTACAGTTTTTCATATAGGGGATTTTTGCTTTAAAACAATTCTAATTTTTTGAAGAAATGAAGGGAAAATATGGCACAAAAAAATGATTACTTTTTTTTTGTTTAAAAGTAACTTATGTTATACTTTTTCATAGAATAATAGTAATTTAAAAAAATTAATACTCTAAAGGCAAAAATCCTCTATCTGGAAAATTTCTCGTTGTTACAGGCAATAGAATTAAATAAGTTAGGACATTCAAATTTGGCATACTTTTTTTTTAATATTTTTTAAAAACAAATGAGGGGGCGGCACGATTAAAATTTTGGTCAAAATTGGTCAAATAAGAACCACCCTGGTGCGCATATATGCATCTCCAAATACCTCGCCTGATATACAGGGTGTCACCAAATAAGTTCTCATCCTTTAAGGGGATGATAGTACACGCCAAAATAAGAAAAGTTTTTCCTCTACCATTTTTGCATTAGTGCCTTTTTTAATAAAAAAATCATTAACATTTATAAAAGTCAGCTAGAAATTTTGGGCCTCCCACTGGTTGTTTCTGGTCTATGAAAACCGACGAAAAATATGCTTGCACAGTGCGCATTAATCTACATTCATTAAACATTTACATTTGTGTTATTATTGTTTACTTTGTTGATACTTGTTTTTTATTTGCATACTCAGCTATTTTTAGCAGTAGCGTGTCAAATTTTTTGGGGGCCCCTTCGCGAACTTTTTTTGAGGCCCCCTATGTCACTATTATATTTTCCAAAAATAACCCATTATAGTAAATATTTATACACAATATCATTATCCAATAGTTAAAAAACACAGCGAATTTGAAACTAAATTTATTTCTATAAAATATTATATGTTATTATAATATAGGAGGGATGATTGAAAAGGTCTAAAAAAATGTCCTTGTAATACAAGGAAAACATACAACAAATATTTAACTAATAAGTACAAAGATATGGAATTAAATATGCATTATTTTAAAAACTACTTATAAAATATCCTAACCTTAAAGAAAGGAACTTGTCAACTATTTTGTCTAAATCTACATCTTTCGCTCGTTCATTTTCTACTGAGATTATGGCCAATGAGCTAAGGCGATTTTGTACCATACTAGATCTCGTAAAGCTTTTTATTAGCTTCAACTTTAAAAAAGTCCTTTCTGGTTGAGCTGATGTAACGGGAAGTACTAGAAACAGCTGGAACGCAGTGCAAATTTCAGGTATACTACTTATTAGTAATTAATTTTAAATCTGAAAACTTTCTTATGCTATGAAAATTTTTAATCTTTTCGTAAAGTAAATTTTTTAATTGTATTAGTTCCAATCCTAGATTTTGAGTTAAGTCGTTAGAATATTTCTCTATTAATACTCTGACATTAGCTAAAATATCAGATTCTTGCGCGTTTATCAATGTTTGTAGGTTTAAAATTTAAAATTTCGAATAAATATTTTTAAATGCTTCATACCTGATTCTAAACTGAGTTAATATTATATCCAAACAAGCATTAAAAATTGTAACTTTTAAACGATTTTTATTATTTTCAATTGGCTCATCCGCTGCAATCTCATCAAAAAAATTTTTGATTGTACGGACTCTTTTGCTTTTCAGTTGAGGGTCAATATTCCAAGATTTCGCAGTTGAAATAGATAACTCATAAACATTTTCAAAATTTTCTCTGAGACTCTCTAATTTGGAAAGAACTCCTGATATTAGATCTGTTGCCTGTCCTATGTCAATGTCATTCTTTTGCAAACATTTTGAAAGCATATTAATATTTTCCAAAATAGTACCTTGAAAACATAGCAAGAAAATGAATTCAAAATTTTCTATTTTATTTTGTAATATCTTGGCCTCATCTCTATTACTGCGTTTTTTGGCTATTAATGTTAAATTTGATAAACACTTGACAACCAACAAAAAATTATTTTTTAACGATATTATACTATCGAATCTTGACGACCATCTAGTTGGACATAATTTTTTTAGAGTTAAACCATCAGTTTCACTTCTTTTTATTTCGGAGTATAAGCTTTGCCAACGAGGTAGACTTTCACTAAAAAATTTCTTATTTCGGCAATTTTGCTAACAGTCATTTAAAATAAGATTTAAGCTATGAGCAGTGCAATGGACATAATCGGTATTTGGTTGTCGTTGTTTTTGATTAGAGCTTGCAGACCTGCGTATTTCCCTGCAAAAAAACTTATTTTTATAAGGTTCCATATTAATGATAGGAAAGCTTTTTTTTAATTTTTGCCTTTGAACTTTTAAGACAACTTTATTTTTTTAATCAATAAAAAGTATAGTGTACAATGTATATTAGTTGTCCAAAAAACATAATTTAAATGTTCTTACCGCTCATATTTGCAGCACCATTATAACTCTGGCTTTCTACATTTGTCTAGGGAAATTTCATACTTCTGTAGAACTTTTAAAATTTCACTTTCAAAATCTTTTGCACACTGGCATGTCATTTCGTAAAATCCCAGAAAAATGATTATTCAACCTTAAATTGGTTTTCTTTGAGCTTAATATGTCTAAACACAAGACTAAGTTGATCTTTTCTACTTATATCCTGTGTCGAATCAACGATGATTGAAAAAAATGGGCTGTCCTTGATATCTTCAACAATTGATTGCAATATTGAATCAGCAATAAGAGAAATAAATTGATTTTGCAATGTATTACTTAAATAATGTCTAGTTCCTTTCTTAATTCTATTAATATGCAACTCAATAACTGGGTCATATCTGGCTAAAAGTTTGACAATATTAAAAAAAACGCCTTTTGAGGAGTCAGCTTCTAGTTTATTTTCATCTAAAGAAAAAATATATCGATGACCTCGGAAAGGCAGAGAAGACATGGCAATTATTCTAGTTACGTCAATAATCCTTTATAGTACAGCTTTTAATCTATGTATATCTTCATTTAAACATATATCCACCGTCTTATTAGCTTTCCACGTCGAATACACCAAACATGCATCGAGATGAACTCTTGCATTCTCGTGTGTCAAATTTTTTTTTTAAAGGCCTTTCCAATCATTCAACATTCCCGTGGTCCAAGCAGGGTTAAAGTCACTGAGTAGGATATCCAGAATCTTAAATAAAAAAATAAAACACTTGTATTGGAAAACAGTGTTTTTTTATTTTGTAGCGTGAAATATTGAAAAAAAATATAATAGTATATAAAAGTATAAGTGGATAACAAGGTCTTTAAAACACGCGCGATTTTTCTAGCACGACGGCGCAGCAAGTGTATCTTCTGTTTTCTATTCTAAAGCAAATTTTTCAACTTACTGTTCCAACAACTGTCCAGATGATGTCCTTTTCTTATAATACACTTCACTAAATGATCGATTTGAGTCGTCTTTTGCAAAACCACTTATAGGCCTTTCGGGCCTATACGGATCAACATGCACAAGCTGCTTTTTTAGATCATCACTTAATTCAGTGTTTAAAAAAAGCGCTAAGTCACTGGAGAATATTGGGCCTGATTCGAGACTTGACTCAAAATCTGAATACTTTTCGTTTTCGAGAATATTTGCACCTTCAATGTCTGGTAGAATAGTTTCATCATCATACACTTTTGTTTTTGATGATGAGGTTGCGGATGTTGACGGCGTTTCAGAAGTTGATATAACTTTTTTTTGAAAAAACGTATCAATTTTGGCAATCTTCTTCTTCTCCTCCTCCTTTTTTTCAACTAGTTTTCTTTTTTGAGCCCCACCAGATATTTGCGCGAACTACTCATTTTAATATTTTAAATATCAACTCAAAACTCACACGTAACAAGTGAAATAACAAAGACTCGCTAATAACCAGAAATTCCCATTAAAACGGGGAATAACCTATGGGAATCACTGAGGTTTCGACCAGCCAGGGTTGACAATTGTTTGGGCGTTCACATTTTTTATGTTCGAAAGAAATGGTGACAAATTAAATATGGATTTGAAATGTTTAAATGTGCATATTTGAATCGATCAGAATAAGAACAGTACAAGTCCAAAAATTTTATTTTCACAACTCAATTTTTAAAATCAATTTAAAAGTTCAAAATGCATTTTTGTGAGAATATTTCAAATATTTTATAAAATATAATAATCAAATTTTGTAAAATGGTTTATATCTTCACACAAAAATGCATTTTAAACTTTTAAATTGATTTTAAAAATTGAGTTGTCAAAATAAAATTTTTGGACTTATTCTCACCGATTCATTTGTATTTTTGGAGTTTGTTTGATATACATAGGTATTCCTACAGATATAATAGCCAATAAATATGTAAAATTGTCCGCATAATCCGAAAATATCGTCAAAAGTTATAAAAGTAAAACAGTTTTTGAGATATAGTAAATTTTCCATATAATATGGAATTTTCCATATAATATGGAATTTTCCATATAATACGGAATTGACTATATTGACTATATAGGTCAGTGACATCCAGTGGCTCCCTAGTTTTGTTAAATGTCATAATATGACATATTATGTCATATTTTTTTATAAAAAAAACAGTAGCTCTAATGCAAACATGATAAAGGAAAAACTTTCTGGTTTTGGCGTGGACTATCATCCCCAAAGAATGACAATTTATTAGGTGACACCCTGTATCTATCTTCACAGATGGATCCAGAACCGACAGGCTCTGATGCGGAAGTATATTGTCAGAACCCATCCATACGTCTCAATATATTATTGGGTATCTATACAGTGAGCCACGGCGTGAGTGAGCGCGTTAAAATCCCCCCCTGTTAACTTTTGAACCAAATAAGATATCGATGTCGAACAAAAACCAGGGTAAACTATATTGTGTTTACTACTTTTTGACGTCAAAATGAAATTTTTTTGCCTAACAAGTGCCAAGAGGGCAGTATCAACTTGAAAATTTCAAATGGAAAGGGGGTGCTTGTGATACCTCATTTGAAAGGTATTTTAAAATGTTTTGTTTTTAGTATTGCTCGATTAATAGTTATAACTATTATATATATATACATGTCATATATATGTCATTAAGCCAAGTGTGATGTGCTCAAAGTTTGAAGCGAACCATAAAAATACATTCTGGGCCGAATTGCATACAATATTTCATCTTCAAGTTGTAATAGTTTTTAGAATTTAAAGTCAATTTTAAATGATACAGTTTTTTATTAATTTATGTTGACTTATGTATTATTAGGTTTTTATTATTATCTATTATTTTCAAGTTTATTAATTAACCTAATGCACAAATCAAAACCATTCAAAATCAACGGACAGTAGGTATATATAAGGACAGGGTTCTATGATGAATGCTTTTATAAAATCTTATTATTTAATAAGTTCTTATAGCTTCAAAAATTAGACTTAATTAATGCAAAATAATTGTGCCACTCATAAATACAAATAATTTACCTTGGTCATAAATGACCATTGCAGGTTTGGATTCGCGGATAATGTGTTCGATCCTGGATCCTGGAAAGGCCCTGTCCAGGGGAAGATAGGCAGCTCCTGCTTTCCATATGGCAAGTAGTACAATTACCAAATAATCACTTGGTAAAAGATTTACGGCTACTATAAAATCTCCATCCCTGTTTCTGGGTAGATTGTTATTTTTAATCTCCTCATAAATTGTCCTTGACAATTTGTTGGTCAGCTTGTCTAACTGCTCGTATGTAAACGTCCTGATTTCATTGCCCTCTAGAAATAAAAATAATATTTGCATAAGTAAGTGGTTATGCATTCAATTATTTGTTTAATTATGTGGGTACTTGGGTAGATTAAGAAAAGAAATATTTAAATGAATGCAATTATTACAACATTTTTATTCATTACCTTCAAAAAGAAGTGCATTAATATTTTTATTTTCTTCGGCAACTGTTTCAAAAAGTTTGTGAATTTTTATGGGAACTAGTTGTCTGGAAGGACCTTTTATAATTGAAAGTTGGGGCAAAGAACCCATTTTCTGAAACAAAAAAACGTTTTCAATGGCTATAAAATATCAAGAAATAATGACTTGTACGGGTAAGGGGTAGTAACGGACCGCGAGCCTAAAGTCCCATCCGAATGATACATAATGGAACAAACACGACAAATATTTCCCACATAAGATACAAATACATATGTATTTTACGTAAAAAGAGAAATTGTAGTCAGCATTGAGGCTTTTGAAAACATTTGTTTAAGAATTCCGTGAGCCTAATAATAATAATGCTTTATTGAACTAAAACCAAGTTCAAAGGCTATTGACCGTAGTCCTTCAGCCGGCCGTGAGCCTTTTTCATTAAAAAATTCATATAATATCCTGATAAATTTAACAAAAATTAAGAGTGCCCTGGATTTAATATGTTGATGTATGGTACCTACATAAGTAATTTGTGAATTTTTTTACGGTGACAAAGATTAATATAAAACAAAATATTTGACAAATACCCTTTATCTCGGGCTCAATGACACCATTGGTCAACGAGTTCGTGTGATGTGACGCCCTGTGATTTTTTTCTGTGGGGTCTACTCCAAAGTTATTAAAGACAATGTCACTTGACAGATGCCCACTATAACATTTTTTCTATGTCAAAATTCGGAAAAAATTATTAGGGTCCGAATGCAGAGTGCTACAAAATGTTTTTTTTAAAGATTTGTAACGAAAAATAAAACACATTTAGGAGGTTTAGGAGAAAAATAAGTACGCCACTGAACGCGGCATACTTCAGAATGGGTACAAACTTAATTTCATCAAAAATTAACTATTAATAACTACCCATGTCAGACAAGTTTATTTTACCACGTTATAAACATAAATTTTCAGCATGGCTATCTTAGTTTTTTGTTTTGTTTTAGAAATCCTAGCTAAATGACCAAAGGTGATTGCTTAAAGTAAATACAACAAATGTTTAAAAATATATATACAGGGTGTCCCATAGTTAGCATGCAATACTTTAACAGCAGATTCCACATATAAGAATGAGAAATAAACATAGGTCGAGAAATGCTTCCTAAGGGAGCTACAGCCACCCAAAAAGGAGACCCTGATGATGGTTTTTATTTGATATCTCCAAAACCGTTAAAGATAGAAAAATGAAATCTTGAGAATTGATCAAACTCCATGTTACATTGCATAAAATGTCACCAGTCTTAAATAATTTTTTATAAACATGGCAGCCGTGTTCCATGGCCCAAGCTGAATCTTTTTCTTTAGTTGTGATTTTATTATGAATTTTTATGCCATGTAAGGTAATTTTCAAATCAATTTTAAGCGAAAATGGTAAATATTATTAAAGTTCAACATGATGACCTTTTTGTATGTAAACCTCCAAAATAAAATAATCTTACATCAAATCCTGGGACAAGACATGTAAAACAGTTAGGGTGGTTTTATCCTTACTCCAAATCTATCTGACCCAACCCTCATGAAAAATTTGAAATTTTTATTATTACATCTTATTGGACATACAAAATTTGATCAAATCCCAAAATCTTTAACGGTATTGGAGATATTAAATAAAAAGCATCTTGAGGGACTCCTCGTTCGGGGGCTGTAGGACCCTTAGAAAGCATTTCTCGACCTATGTTTATTGGATTTTTTTTTGTAGGGGAGACCAGGCCCTCATGGACCCCCGGGTGTGTTGGAACCCCTTACTTTACCGGGCTGTAAACTGAAAACTCTGTGGTATATTAGTGCATTTGTTATGACAAGAGCATGCTTGTTTTTAAGTTTTAATCTTAAAAATTATAATTTGTTTATAAACCATTATTTTTAAAAAGGTAAGTATTGAATTTATTTTAAAGATTTTTTCAATTTTATTGTGTAGTGAAGATTTTTCATTGTATTATGTTTTATGAATAATATTACGATTCTCTATATCTATAACCTACAAAATGAATCCAGGTATAGCTCAAAATAGTAACAGATGTAGAGTTAAGGCGTCAAAATTAAAAAAATGGCCGTTTAGGGTTTGTTAGAACCCACGTTTCTTGTTTATGTTGGAATAGGGGTCCATCAAACCCAAAGCTATAATTTTTAGATTTAAAATAAAAATTTTTTGCAGACTTGAAAAATGGACAAAGTGGCCTAAATTTTTTAAAAAGGTTTTCTTGAAGGTTCTGAAACAGTTTTTACCGAAGAAATTGAAAATGAGCTAGTAGACTATTTAAAAGAGATGGCAGACCGCTTTTTCGTGCTAACTTCAACAGATTGCAGGTTGGCATTTAATTAAGATGAGAGACTTAAAATTAAACACCCCTTTAATAAGAAAACCCAAAAAGCCGGTTGGGATTGGTTTAAGGGATTTAGAGAAAGAGATCCTGAGTTGTCTTTAAGAACACCAGGGGCAAGATCTGCAGCCAGGGCACAAGGGTTTAATAAGCCTCAAGTAGAATTATTTTTTAACGCTCTTAAAAAAGTAATAGAAGAAAATCATATTTTCCCTGGACAATTGAATAATATGGACGAGTCCGGCTTGTCAACTGTCCAATCAAGAATAGAAAAATTTGTAGCTTTTAAGGGTAGGAATCAAGTAGGAACATTGACAAGTGCAGAGAGGGGAAACCATTTTACTTTAATATGCTGGCATAAATGCTTTTGGCAATTATGTTCCACCTGGAATGATTTTTCCCAAAAAATATATAAAAAATAAATTGCTTGACAAAGCGCCCATTGGAACCGAGGAATTTACCCAAGAAAAAGGGTGGATGAGTGGGGAGATATGTTTAATATGGTTAAAAAAAATTGTATGTTCGCTCAACCTTTACCCAATAAAAAAGTTTTACTGCTTGAAGACGGTTATAGCAGTCACAAAAGTTTAGAAGTTTTAGAAGTACGCAAAAACCTGGCTACCATTGGTTTTTTGAATACCGGAATCGTACCACTTAATTGCAACATTTTTCCGGAATGGATGTTTTCACCATCTATAACTACAAATATTCCTATTGAAGAAGATGATAATACAGAAAATGTGCCTATTCCTTCCACATCAACAAGACAACAAAATGAAAAGACCACCTAAAATTGAAAAAAAGAGCCAAAATCAAGTGTTTCGGATATTCTAAAAGAAATTATTCCCATGCCGACACAAACAAAAACCAGAAAAAAATCAAAAAAAGGAAAATTAGGAGTTATTAACAATACTCCTGACATAACTGAAGAATGTCGTAAGAAAACAATTGAAGAAGAAAGGAAAGCGGCTAAAAGAGCAAAAAAGAACTAGAGTGAAGTGGGGTAAGTGCGCTTTTGGGGTAAGTGCACCAATTGGGTTTAAAAAAAAAACTATTCAACCTGCGGTGGCACCCTCTGGTAAGTGCGAGAGCATGACTCTTTTACACTAAAATACACATTCGTTCTTTACCGACATCAAATTGGTTAACAAAGAATGGCGACTTGATTGAGTGTTGTCGTTTTTACTCGCGTGTTAAATGCGCAGTTCTGTGAAAAACAACACTTATTACTGGAGCTAAGGTATGTGTAAAGCTACTAAATATTTATTTTGAAAGTTTATATGTGTTTTAAGTAAACTAATATGCAAAATTACCTTTATTGTAAAATAAGCTAACTTTGCCCCAAAATTTTCTCTTATTGGGCAAGTGCACCTACCTTCATGGGGGAAAGTGCGCCCACTTTCCCCGGAGTTAGTTTCGGCCTACGCAGTTTTGTATGTTCTTGTTTCTAAACACATTTTTTCCATAGGTACCATAGGAAGAAGAGGCGAAATGAAGTTTTACATCAGTTTTCCGCATTATAATATTAATTAGATTTACTGTATGAAGTTTACCTATCTTTGTTTTTTAATAGTATTGTATTTTTGTTTGATTATTTCATAAACAGTTGAGAATAAAAACTATCAGTTTGTAATCATGGATTTTTTTTGCCAGATAATTTCCCTATTATTCGAGTTAAATGTAATAACTTTATAACCAATAAGTCAATTTAATTGCGGTAAATTGCAAAAAATTCACAAAACTGTGAGTTTGTTGCACTTGCCCCGTGAATACGTTCGTACTTATAATATGGGAACTAACCGGTGGTGGTGCAAGTGCACCCACATGTATATATTTTTACAAAAAAATAGCTGTGGTGGCATATTACCTTTAACGCAGAGTTTAGATCTGCCATGAGATACATCACTAAGGGAGTATACATGCCAAAGACTGGACTCTTACCATTGTTGTAAAGAATTTTATTAACTATTTAATTTGTGTTTTGCACTTGGGTGGGTGCATTTACCCCACTTCACCCTAAATACTATTTTAGAAGATAGTGATAAAGAAATTTTTCAGAGCGAGTTTGACGATAATGGAAGTGACGTTGCTTGCTTATATTGCAACGAACTATATCCTGTTTCTAAAAAAGGAGATATATGGATCCGAAGCCAGAAATGTGACGCGTGGTGTCACACTGACTGTGCTGGTTCAGAAAAAAACCAAATTATTTACCTGTGATTTATGTCAGCCCTAGTTTAGTTTGTTACTTTTTTATTACTCAGGTACCTTAAGAGTTATATTTTGTTTTGATTTAAGAATGTTTTTTTTGTTATGATACTCAAATATAAATTTTTAAATGAGCGTATGTTTTAATACCATCAACCCCATACTGGGGGTTCATCATAGCCAGGTATATGGGTATGATGGAACACTTGTCATTTTTTTTAAACATGTATTAAAAGTAAAAATAAAATTAAAAAAGAAATATATCCAAAATCTTCACGTTCAAAGTCTAAAGATTTATTATAAAATCTGAAATTGTTGATATACTTTTCATTAGGGATATTATTTGCATTTAAATAAAAAGGGGTCTTCCACGTTAAATCTGCTGTTAAAAGTATTGCACGTTAACACACCCTTTATATACGAATTTAAATGTTTGCATATATTCAACAATATCTTGAAAACAATGCTAATTGAGCAAAATGAAGGTAATTTTTTTAATTAGCGCCCCAAATAACTCTAGAAAAGTTGTTGGCCCCCTGTGGC